ATCGTGTTGTCCGTTAAACTAAATTTTGAAATATGCTTTTTTGCATACTATTAAAAATTTTGTTATCTAGATGATTTGGTAAATAACTTCTTCGGAGGTTACCAAAAAAACTAATTTTCAAGAAGAAAAACTGTCAACAAAAAAAAAAGTTTCAAGGTGAAAAAAAGTAGCTTAAAGGTTGTTTTTTTAAAAAAAAAAATTAGTTTCATATTTTTCATACTGAGTTACATGTCGATTTTCAAAGGTGAAAATCGACACACCCTAATATACATATATATATATATATATATATATATATATATATATATATATATATATATATATATATATATATATATATATATATATATATATATATATATATATATATATATATATATATATATATATAAATTTTGAATTTGTAAAATTTATTTTCAGATTTAAAAAATCCTTATCTGTACGTAACAGACGATGGAGACGATTATGTGTGGCAAAAGATTATTTTATGAAGTTTTTCATTTTCTGACTTCGTAATGAAACTTATTGGAATACACTTGTCATGAACATGGGAGGAGTATTGCCGGTACAAGCACAAACAATAATAAAACATTTCAAAGAACAATTTGTTATTTCAACGATTAGATTTGTTGTTTAAATGTATAAATGCTTATTGAATATTATTTTTATATATCATCCTAACTTCAAAATAATGCTTCATTTTTTCTATATGATAGTACTTTTGTAATATTGTTTTATAGTTCAGGGGAAATAATATTGAAACAAAAAAAATAGAATCTTTTTTTAAATAAAAGTAACATTGAAACAAGTAAAAATATTTTTTTTAAGGAATATAAATTCTTGAAACAAGAAAAAAATACATAATTTTAAGAATATAAGCTCTTGAAAAAAGTAAAAAAAATCTTTTTTTAAGAATATAAATTCTTGAAACATGAAAAAAAGTTCTTATATTAAGAATAAAAATTATTAAAGCAAGAAAAAAAATCTTATATTAAGAATAAAATTTCTTGAAACAAGAAAAAAGTTCTTGTTTTAAGAATAAAATTTCTTGAAACGAGAAAAAAATTCTTGTTTAAAGAATAAAAATTCTTGAAACAAGAAAAAAAAAATATTTATGAAAAAAAGTTCTTGAAACAAGAAAAAAAATTCTTATTTTAAGAATGAAAATTCTTGAAACAAGAAAAAATATTCTTACGTGGCGGACAAGTCATTTTTTTCTTGTTTTAAGACTTTTTTTACTTAAAACAAGAATTTTTGATTTTGCTGTGTATTGGTTCAAAAAGCGCTGAGGCTTTCCTGAGACGTCGCCTTATTTACAATGAACATAAAAAAGCCACGTATGTCGCAAGTGAACTGTATTTTCCCTAATAAAGGCATTATTGTCCGATTCCGGCCACCGAAACTCTCCACTGCGAGAAACCCTCCGTCTGGTCTTCTGCGCCATCTTCTGGTTTTCTGCGCTGCATCAAGCTTTGCTTTTGGGCTGCTTGTTGCTCATTGTATTGCATCAAAATCCGCTTCGGCCATCGACTCTAGCTTTCAGTCTTGCTCCAACAACATTTGTTTAAATTACAGTTTGCTTCAAGCGTTTTTAAGCAATTTTTTTTTTTAGGTCTAGGAATGCGTGTGGAGTTAGTAATTACGAAACAGACAACATAATTACATTCGATTTGAATTAGTGCGTTCATATGGAATCTATTATAAAAATTCATTAATTGAAAGCTTAAATAAGAGTTTAAAAAATGTGACCTCGCGGTAGAAAAGGGACCACATGGTGGGATCTAGTTTCTGAGAAAATCACGTTTAAATAAAGTGATCTGTGGTTTTTAAGTTTTCTGTTTTCATTTGTATTTGATAGATGATTATCAGACTATTAACTGAATTGATTATTTTTGTCATATTAACGTTCGTTTAATTCTATTTTCCAAAAATATTGCAAATAACATTTTCATTAGAATATAAAAAATCATAACTTTGGATCCAATTGAGCTATTTTAAAGATCTTGGTGTCATTTTGTTCAGTTTATTTAGCTTTTTTCTGTGGTATGAATAACTCTTTTTCCCTATCTGGTCCCTTTTCCAGGTAAATCTATAAATAAAAATATTAGTTTTTAGACTTTGATAATATTTTGTTATATACATATATTGTTAGGAACAAAATATAATTTAGTCAAAGTATTTTTACTTTTAATGGTGGATTTAATAAAATTCATATATACATATCTAACTTATATATTCTGAAATTGTATAATTAAATCATATCTTATACTCATATGCCCGTATAATTGTATTAACTAATCATTAAATTCATTCCATGGAATTGTATAATTGATTGCGGCTCGATTTGATTGATCATTTCTTTTTTTCTTTACTATTTTGTAAATTTACAGCTTTAAAAATTTACAGCTTGTTTGTACAAATAATATTGTTTTCATCTTACATACTTTTTCTATCCTTTTTTTATAAAAATTACTACTTTAACATTTTCTTTTTTCGATATCTTACCTCATCTGAAGCCATAAGGTTTAATTGTAAAGTTCCATTTCTAATGGTCCTGAATATATGATCCATCATTTAACGAGGATCCACCATGAGTTAGCCCGTCCGATTTCTTTGGTGCCCGAAAATTCTCTTAGAAGAAATGCAGACCTCATTATACTATGTTATGAGATATGCAGCAGGTCTGTCGAGAAAAATTACGGACACTGAAGAAAGCGGATAGGCTTCAGTGGATAGGAGGAAACGTTTTAAATTAATAAAACTTTTTGGTAATGTATTTGCTTTTTTTTTTGTTTGTTTTGCCTTTGCATTTGATTTTCAAAAACACATGCATACCGGGCCGTTTGTACAGCCGTATAATATGCATACAGGACCGTTTCAAGTCGAATAGAGTTCTGCGATAATTAAAGTGTAAACGTGATTGTACAGATTTTTATCACCTGCATGGGGAACTGTTTAGCCCCCAAACTCGCGGCTTTACCCGTGTGGCTTCAGCCCAGCAGAACTCCTTGTATACTCTCGCTCTCGATGGGTAATTTTTAAGAAAACTTCCTATATTTACAGCCCCAATCCTAAAATTGTGACTCTGACTTACCTGATTAATCTTTATTAAAAATTTAAATTGCAATCATTTCAAATATTTTCCCAGTCGGCACCGACGTAAAAAAGACGTCTTGTAAACGTCTTATACACGTTTTGGACGTCTTTTAAACGTCTTTTCAACGTTTTGGACGTCTTTTGAATGTTCAAATGACGTCTTTTTTAGGTCCGGTGACCACTGGGTTATTTACATATTTTTACTAAATTGACTATTAGTCAACTTAGTCGGTTTCAAATATGTGTTTAAGTCGAACTTTAGCTGACTTTGATCGACTTTAGAAAATATATTAGTCGCTTTAGTTGAAAGTCGAACTTTTCAATAGTCGTACAACACTAGTTTTTCTCAAACAAATTGAGGCGTACGCCTCAAGCGCATTGAGGCTTACGCCTCGCCTCACATAGAGGAAAACCGCCTCAATACGCCTCACGCTTTTTTAAACTTTGGGGAGGAGTAAATGGCGCCATTAAAATTTTTGCTGACTCATAAATAAATAAGGTACTTAAGGGGGGGAGAGGGAGGATGTGCTACACCGACCCCCCTCCCCTTCTCCCCCTATTTCCCCTATTATAGGAGGAGAATTCAAATCAAATTTAAATTACATAATTTAAATTTGATTTGAGATTTAAAATAAATTTTACTTTAGCTAGATTATTTCCTTTAAACATAAAAAATGTGGGAGATAAAAACTATTACAAATATTTTTAAGTGTTACTTTATAATACTTGTAAATATGTTTGTATATTTATTTTACTTAATTTATTCTTATGTACATTTCCTAATTTTCAAGTAATTTTTAAAACTTCTTAGTTTATTTTGTAGCGCACATCTTTTTACGGTGTGAAGTATTTTATTAGTTAATAAATGTTTTTTTGCTTTTATATGTTCTATTAAATAAATGAATTTTTGTTAAACAATACAAAAGTTTATTTTTTAAATAAATTTAATCGAAAAACTATTTGATTTTTACAAATGTACATATGTGTTTGTTGTAATGAATTTATTGCATTTGTAACTATAGCTTTATTAAAATATAATTAGGGCATTATCTGAAACACGAAAAGTCATCAATACGAAATTACTTAAATTTTCAAGGCTAGACTTTCAAAATACTGTGCATTTTGTTCTCAAGATGAAAGACATGAGGAATTGTTTAACTGCTTTATTTTTACTTGTTTTCAAGATGATGTTGAGTCAGGATTAGTATGAAAACTTGAAATAGTGTTTAAATTTTTGACATGTTTAAATAATTAAATTCATTTATTAACACAAAAAAAAATGTATCAAGTCATGTGAATGATATTTCCGCTTTTCAACTTTGTAAATGTTTGACTTTATTTCAGTAAATTTTTTGATTGTTATTATAAGCTACTATTTAAAATTTACCTTTAAAGTGTCATTTTCTTTTATTATGTATTATATTATTAAATTAAAATTATGCTATTAAAAAAGTCAACCAAAATTTAAAAAAGAATGGTTCATGACCGTATTCGTTATATATACAGCAGTTACAACAATTTTTATTTGTCAATTAAATGTATTTTATGTTTTGTTTTTTTGCTTTTTAGAATAATACAATGAAGAATCATTATTAAAACGAGTTAATTATACTAATTTCATCGATCGAATCAATATTGATAGTAGATTTAACTTTTTCTCTTTTTTGTTTATAATTAAATTATTTTTATAAATAATATAAGAAAAAGCAAATAAAAATTCTGCGCATCCTTTTATATAGCTAAGATATATAACTTGCTAAAAATATAAAAAAATAGCTTTAAAAGATAGAAGTATATCTATAGTTAAACTATTAAATTAATAAAAATAAATTTTTTTAAAATCTTCATTTAATTTTTGATTTTACTGATAAAATTCAAATTTGTTTGTTCTAATAATAATAATGTTTACTTTTAGATGTTCATAGATTTTGTTTGATGCTTTCATCTACGTTTACTAACTTTATGATGAAAAAAATGCTACTCGCTTTTTTAATCTTTACAAAATTTCAAGGTAAAATATTTATAAATAAATTGTATTTATTATTGAAAATTATTTTTGCTTTTATTTCTTCAGTCTAGACTGTTTTTTTTTAAAAAAAGATCCTTAAAACTATTTTGGGGTAGTAATGTCCCTGCAATATAATTTTTGTTCCTATTATTATTGTTCCTGGCCTGATTATGTTTGATTACCTAATAAATAGCAATTTATTAGGTAATCATAAATAACCAGGCCCGCTGGCAAACGTATTTTTATTACTGTACAATCACGGTAATATACTTATTAATTTTATATCCTTAAATTAGTTATAATTAACTTTTAAAAGATAAAACAAAAGTGAATGCAAATTGGCATAAGTGCATAGTTCAGACAGTCTAAACTGTCATATATGCGCTAAACGACTTGGTTTGAGTTTTATAAGTTTGAATTTATAGCAACTATAAATTCAAATTTATAAAACTTGAACATTGAGTTACCTTTAATTCTAAAAACTTCAACTAAACTTCAAGTAAACTTCAACCAAAAAAAAAAACAAAAAAAAAACTGTACTTTATTTGATATGGTATCAACAAAATATTATTATTACATTTCCTACATCTTTCTTTACAACTATATGTTGTAAAGAATTTTATAATTATTATTAACAGGTTTTCCTGAAACACATTTAACCATAGGGGCAAGTATTTTTTCTATTTTTGATTTAAGCTAAATTTAACATATAAAACATCATTCACATGTAAATGATGTTTTATATGTTATAAACATATAAAACCTATGAAACACTTTCCTGAAACACATTTGAGCTATGGTTTAATGTGTGTCAGGAAAACCTGTTTATAATAATTATAAAATTCTTTACAACAAATAGTTGTAAAGAAAGAAGTAGGAAATGTAATAATAATATTTTATTGATATCGTATCGAAGAAAGGTAAAGTTTTTTTTTTTTTTTGCTTGAAGTTGACATTTAAAACATACTATTAGTTCATCTTTTAATTTAACTTGTTTTTCAAATGTTTTTGTTTTTGAGTAATCAGAGGCTCTAATAACTCTGGTATCCAGGTCTAAATTTTATTGCGCGTGTCTAGAAATGATAGTTATCATAATAAAGCAATAAATTTTAACTAAACTATATATATATATATATATATATATATATATATATATATATATATATATATATATATATATATATATATATATATATATATATATATATATATATATATATATATATATATAAATACGTATATTTTACCTTCATAACACGGTCGAATAGTAAAGTGAGGGTCATTTTGAGTAAGCTTTTTTTTACATTTTAATCTATGCATGGTAGGAAGGTTTGAGATATTAGCTGAATTATCTTTTTAATTTTCAAAACTTTATTCTGGAAATATTCTTTTTATTTTAATTTGCGTATGTTGTTTTATCATTATTTTTAGATCTTAAATTGTTACCTTTCCTGAAGAAGCTAAAGCAAAACATTTTAACAAAATTAACGTGTTTTTTCGCATGATTAGGCATTCTAAATGAATCCTTCAAAAAAAATTAAACTTTTAATACGCATTTATAATATAGGCATGATACATCGGCCCTATTTATAATAAAGGCATTATACATCGACCCTGTTGATTAAATTTCAATGTTATAACCAAAATTATATTTCCAGTTCTTACATCAACGCGTTTGAGGAACTATCATTTCAATTATTTAAGCAGCCGTGGCGCAGTGGTTAGAGTTCTGGCTCAGAATCCAGAGGTTTGGGGTTCGACGCCAGCTCCAGCCCAACAAGCGACATTGGTACGGAAGGAGGCGTGAACTTCCCGTTAAATGCTCTCCCGCGGTGCTCTATGATAAGACCGTAAGGACTTCTGGGAGCACCAAAATACAAAAAAAAAAAAAAAATTATTGACAATTAACGACGCCCGTTGCTTTTTTGTTAAAATCGAAAAAGTATTAACTGAATTCTAATAAAAAGTAACTAAAATAGCACTAGTGGTAAGTAATAAAGTTTTTAGTTCTGTTTCCAATTTCACTTTTAAACTTAAAATATATTCTCATGTTTACGATTTTTTTGGGAGTTTTGTGTTAAGACTGGCCTTTTATCCCTAACCACTCCGACCTCAGGATATGGTTCGTAAAAGAATTTTTAAACTATTTTTTGTGTTGAACTATACTAGATTATAATTTATTCACAGATGTATGGTGAAAAAAAAACGTTGGGTGATTTTTTTTTAGTTTAAAGGATTTGTTAACTTCAAATTTACATTAGGTAGTGATGCAGTGGTCGACCCTTTGCCTTTTAAGCGAGAAGTTTCAAGTTTTATTGCTGCGCTCAATTTGTTCGATTACCGCGTTTAATTTCTTTGCGCTTCAGCCAATACCTATTTTATAATTTTTCCAAAATTACATAATTAATTAAAAAATCCACACAAAAAATTATTCAAATCGTTATTATAATAAATTATAAATTAAATGCCTATTTAAACCAAAACAAAGTAATGCGTTTTTTAAAAAATAAATTAGGCCGGGTGAAAAAAATAGCTTTTACTCAGTAAGTGGTCAGTTTTACCATGGTAGTATAAAACAAATGGAAGTTTATCAAGCCGCAAACATCAAAGCAATTTCAACAAAATTTCAAAAAACAACAAAATTCACTGAATTAATTATTATTAAAACATCAAAAAATAAACTGTTCTAGGTATATGCTGCAAAGTTTTAACCATTAGTAGTTACAATTATTTAGCAAAAGGTGTATTAAAACTCTGTAGTTAAATAGAACCGCTTGATTTTAAAAGCATATATTAGTTTAAGCTTCTTTTCTTGCTTCAAGTCATAACACAACATTTGATTAAAAAAACAATTAAAACAATTTTTAAAAAATTTTTTAAAGTTTCATTAGCTGTATATCATAATTCCATTCATTCTTGTAGTACTCCATTCATATAACATGAAGTTTATAAAAAGGTTATCGTTTGCCGTTTCGTTGCGCCATTATTAATATTTTTCTTGAATATTATTGAAAAACCTTCAAAATATTATCTTTTTAAATTATTATAAACGTGCCTATTTGCGTCAACGTATTAAGATTAAGCGTTTAAGTACAGTCTTGATGTCGTTTTCTTATAGTTTACGAAACACAAGGTTACAAGCATAGTCCCGAAGAATGTTGAACTTCCATTTGTTTTATATTTCCAGGATATAATATATTGTGGAAGTATATACCCAGACAACAAGGATATAATGGTCTCGCACTGGTCCTGTGTAGGTTGCCGCGCTGGGCCGGCTTTGGCTGCCGACGCTGGCAAAGCTCCGTTTTGCTCTAAGAAAATTTCATGGACCAGCCGTGGCTAGCCAGCAATAGCAAAACAGCAGCTAGTCAGTAAAGGACAAAAACTGGGAGAACAACGATTAGTCATTTTTACATCGTACGTGTGATTTTGTATTTGTTAACTAACTGGGTTGCCCATGGGATTGTTATGGATTTTCGTATTTAAAGTCCATAAAAATCCTTTTAGATCTCGTCTTCTTAATTATTTAAGTTGTTTATAGCAGAATCGACTGTAATTTTTTGCTTAAAAATTGGCGTATTTTTCATTAGTTTAAGGACAATGAAATGTATTGGACACGTGATTATTGACAAGTTTAATTAATATGAACAAATTTGAAAAACAGGCTTATTTTCAAAATATATTTACGCAATTATAATACAAAGATTTGATTCATAACCATTCGACAATGGTGCTTTCCTGCGATTCATATCTAATCATCAACATGATTCGTTATAAATTTCTGCTTCAATTTGTAACGTTAATGTCTTCTTTAGTGCTTGCATCCGTTTTAACTTTAATAAAATAAAAACAAACATTAGCACAACTTAATAGTTTATCACATATATACTTATACAATATAGTAACAACATGTATACAAATTGGTCACAACTTCTGAACAACATAGTTATCATGTTAAAATAAAAATTGTTTTTATTATTGACGAAAAAGTTCAATCCATTAACAACAAACCATAGTTACATAGACTTGAGTTAAGGATCTTTTTATAACTTTGTGAACTAAAAAATAATGAATATCGCAATGAAAATTTACAACAACAACCAAATGCAGGATACTTAGAAATATATTTATCAAAATATGTGGTACTTGGATTTTTATGGACCAAAATTCCATTAAAAATTTCATATCTTAAGATTTGACATTTCATGATATTTACTTTAATTCACAGCAGATTCTAAATAAAGTATACGACAGGCAATTTATCATTTTATTATAAATGGATAACGTTAAAATGTTGCCACAGTATAATTACAAATTAAAGCATCTTAAAGATTTTTTTATTTAAAATCTGTTTAAGCGGTTCTCGATGACAAGATCTTATGACCTTCTGTGAGTATATGCGTTCTTATTGTAAAGTCAACAAAATTTGTAACTCATCGTATGTATTTTATTCATTCTTTTATTGTAAAAGTTATTTTGAGTAAACAAAAAATAAATAAATAATTTCAAAATAAAAATTAAAATGCCTCTCAATCTTACTAAATGTTTTTATACACAGAAACTATTTTATAAAATACAGTAAATTTAGTCATTAGTAATAGTAAAAATAAGGGAAAAAAACTTTTCCAAAACTTTAACACTGAAAACATAAGTATTGATAACCTATTTGATTAAGTGTAAACTTACCAGACTTTGATGAACCATTTAACTTGAGATTTGGCATTTTTGTCTCAACATTATAATTGATGCCATAGCTTCATTAATATTTACAACATTTATGTGGTGGCACATTAATCATCACAAACAAACTCTAAAAACGAAACACCAATACTATTAGAATTGAATGCCATTTAAAGGGGGCCATCTTCAAAAAAAAAGAGTTTCTTATCACTTTTTCAACTTTAAAATTAAATAACTTAAAAAATAATTAATTTTGTGTTATTTTATTTGGTATATATATTCAAGACTATCTTGGGTCAATGCATAGACTTCCCGAATGGCGGAGGCTTTTTTATAACAAATTTTATAAATCAATTAAAAAAAAAAAGAAAGATAAAGAAAAATAAATGAAATAAAAAAATATAGAGAATGAAGAAAAGAAAGAAAAAAAGAAAAGAAAAACTAACAAAAAAAAGTTAAAAAACAAATCAAACAAATTAACAAAAGAAAAAAAAAAAACGAGAAAAGAAAAAGGAAAAACAAAAAACCAAAGTTAAAAGAAAACATTCGAAAATAGAAAGGAGTTAAAATAAAATTAAAAAATTGCTCCGTTTTTGAAGAAAGGAAAAAGAATATTTTTTAAACTTTATTATTTTTGACTGACGATATGTGTTTGCTTAATGTGATTTACTTTTTTATTTTAATATTGATATTTATTATGAAAACTCTATACTTTTCGTGACTAAATGTTTGTCTGTGTGACACTTTTTTATTTGTTAGTATTATTGAATAGTTTTTGTTTTGTTTATTTATTGTTATATTTAATTAAAGTATTTATTTTACTTTTATTGTTTTTATTATGATTCTTGATATTAAGATTATTATATTTATTAAATGATTGTACATGGTAGGTTGTTACGTTTTGTCAGTACATAACTGTTTGTATTCAATTCTTGTTTTAAAATTGATATTGATTTATTACCATATAATTTTCTTATTTTTCTTATAATTTTTAATTTATCATCATTATTATTAACATTATTATTTGTATTATCAATCCTATTTCATGGTATTTACTTAAGATTAGTTTTTAACTATTTGTAAATGACCTCGATTGTAAGATCTTTTATCAAAAAATGTATATTGATTGATTGATATTGACTAATTGATATTAAATCTAATAAATAAAATTATTTTCTTTAAAGTTTTTTCATATAAAATAACAAAATAAGAAAAAGCTGTGGAATGGAGTTTTAATATCAGAAATGCAGAAAGTTTGGAGCATACATACTAAAACAAAATATATACAAACGTATGCTACATACTAAAAGGAAATATATAAAAATATATGCTACATACATTTTTAGGAATAAGCTACATGCTAAAACAAAAAATCAGCTAAATAGCATCATTATTAGCAATTCTTTATAACTTTTAATAAAAGCGTTTTAAAAATAAAATTATAGAGAAAAAATGACTTTGAAAGTTTGGAATCAAGGCGAATCGAACACTTCTTGAAATATTTAGATAAAAGAAATATAACCCCATTAAGGAGTTTACATATACGGAAACATGTTATTATGATTAAACATAGTGCAATTTGTGTTTATATTTTAAAAGATTTATCATGAAAAACTCACTGATAAACCTTCCTCTTCACATTAAAAACTAGAAGATCAAGAGGTGATGTGATATAACTATGCAGAACTATTAATGACTAGGATGTAATAAATTGGCATAATTCTCCAATATTTATCAAAAATTCTACTACTAAAGACAGCAATAAATGATATATAAACAACTACCTAAAAAATCAAACAGTCAACATAATTTTTTTATAAATAGAATAGCCGAAAATCATTTATGACTAAAAGTTGTAAAAGCAAAAAACTTAATTATATTTTTAACACTCTACAATAAATATAAACAAAACTGTGAAAAGCTGTTAAAGACTGCCATCTGCGTTAGTTAGACTATACACTAATAATGTGTATCACAACTTTGTTAGTTTATTTATTAATTGTATTTATAAGTAAACAGTTTAACAAATTTATTTGAAAAAATAAATAAATAATAATTAAACTCCTACAAAAAGAAAATAAATAAAGTCAACAACAAATTCTTCAAATTATTTTTCTAAAAACACTTATATGTTCAAATCTAGATGCATAGACTTGGTAACTTTTCCTTTCTAGTGCTTTATATGTTAGTAATACTTAGGTATCCATTTTTTGACTTTAACAACTTGCTTAACACAATAACATTCTTGTACTATATTTATAAAGAAAATGTTATCTTTATATTATTCCTACTAAACTATAAGAATATAAAAGATAAATGTGTTAATAACACTCAATTATATTACAGAAAAGTTATGAACAGGGGCGGATCCAGGAATAATTTTGACTGTAGCAAAGAAAAAAAAAAAAAAAAAAAGGTCCTCAAATCCAGAGTACTGACACTCTTGACTCTCCATTACCAAAGAAGGGAGGGGGAAATGTGCTCGAATCCCGAATACGAGAAGGGGGATAAATATAAGGGGGAGGGGGCAGTAGCAGATTACATCTTTATTTTATATGCTTATACAATATGCTTATACCTTGGTGAGAAATTAACAAAACACATTTTCGGTACTACTACTATGTCGATAATTTTTAAAGCCTGTTTACACTTTTTGTTTTTATCGGAGACTCAAAAATTGTTTTCAAATTTTTAAGGCCAATTTTTGCAGATTTTAGGTTTGAGATATAAATGTTTTGTTGATAACAAATAAAAAGAATAAATGGGGGGTCTTAATAAGCTTATGGTGATGGGGAAAAATATCGGAAATTAATAAACAATAGGGGGGGGGGCGCGTTTATTAAGGACTCGAGTTATCAAGATAATGTTAAATGTGGGTGGATCCTATGATAATTTACTATCCAAAAATGATGGTTAACTATCTTCTCAAAATCAAATACCATTAATAAAATAGCAATACCATGACAATTAACGATTGTAAGTTATTCTTACCTTAATTGTGTTCAACATCCAAAACTGTTGGCTAATGATCAATAAAGTAAAGTTCATATCATGAAAATTTATTAAATTCAAACCATATTTTAACAGTATTCAAACTAAAACAAAATAATGGCAAAGATAGAACTACAAAAATATAAAGAAAAAAAAATGTCATATGAGGTAAAAAACTATAACTATTTTTTAACAAAACCTCATAACATAAAGTTAATAATAAATATGAAATATTTATTATATCAAAAAAATATCCTATTTAAATATTCCATCAGTAATAAATAAAAGTATCCTATATTATATATCTATCAATTTATATACATATTTATATACCCTATATCTATCTGTAATCAGTATAACTTTATAACAAGTATATCTATTCATCAGAGTTCAATATATTTTTAAACTCCATTCTTCGTGGAAATGCAGTCGCAAATTCATCTATAACAATATTTAAGTCAATTTCAACATCTCGATGAATGTGCAACATGGAAATTCCATTTAGGCAATCATCTGTCATAGAATTGCGCAAGGAAGTTTTAATTCTTTTCAGAGCTGATAATGATCTTTCACAAGTACATGTTGTAACTGGTACTGTGCAAAGGATTCGAAGTATAGTAGAAATATTTGGAAACGTATTGCCATCACATTTTTGTAGTGAATCTGAAATAGTTTTAGGAGCTGTTTCAGAGTGATTTTTCCAATATACTTTCCACATATCCAATTCAGCATAAAGATAACTTGGTTCTTGTAAATCATTATTGTATGTATGAGCAAATTCTTTTACTTTTTTCCTCCACTTCTTGTCAGAGATTAAATTTGATGGTATGATGACGAAACTATCTAGCAATGTTAAATTTTCTAAAGAAAATAAAGATTTTAACTGTGTTAGAATGTGATCAATAAAAGGAATCGAACAAGTTACTCGATAATATTCACTAATATCATCTACTTGATGATTATCACGTTGTGTTTGTTGTCCACATGTTCTTGGTTTAGATGGCAAGGTATAATTAGTTGCAGCTATGGTAACAGCTTCTTTATACCATTCTGAGTGTGAAGTTTCAATAGAGCTCCGAATAGATAAAAGAGTGTTTTTTAAAATTTCCACATCATCACGAGCTTTTGAGAAGTCTTGATCAACTTTTTGCAACATTTTTGTCAGTGATCTCGTATACCCTAATAACTTCCTGACTATGATTAAGGTGATGATAAACTTAAACGAACAACATATTGTCACATATGCAGAAGCATCACCTCTGGATTTGTAGTTCCATGTCTCATCTTCTTTAATACAAGTAAGAGATGCAATTATAGCTGGATATAATTCAATAAAAGCTTCAAGACCATCAATTCTTTCAATCCACCTGGTTCTACAAACATTTATTGTCTTTTGAAAGGATGATTTCGGACATAGCTCAACAATTTTTGTAGATAGATCTTCTAACCTCTTTGGAGAATTATTAAAAAAATCAGAGACAATCCTAACATGATCCATCATATCTCGAATTGAAGGAATTGCACATGCTTTGGCAACACACAGATTAAGTTGATGGGAATAGCAGTGGATGAATGGAGCTTTAGGAAAATCTTTTAAAATTAATGCTGCTACACCACAAAGACGCCCTGCCATGTTACCAGCCCCATCGTAACCTTGCCCACGACAATAAGATATTTCCAGACCAAGTTTATGTATACTTTTCTTGATCTTAGTTGATAACAAAACTCCAGTCAACCCACTATTGCAGGAAACAAATTTTAAAAAATCTTCCTTTACTTTGCAGCATTCATCCACATACCGAACAACTACAGCCATTTGTTCAGTTTGACATCTGAAGCTTCATCTGCTGAAATAGAAAAAAATTTTGCTTTCTTTATTCTGTTTGTCAATAGCGATCGAACAACACCTGCACAAATATCAATCAACTCATTCTGCACTGTCTTTGATCGATAAGTGGCATTTTCAGGACCATTTTTAAAATGGTCACTCAAGATCTTGTCACCGCATAATGCCATCAGATCTAATAAGCATTGGAAATTACCAGCATTATTACATTGCAAAGCAAGATGTTTAGCATCATCTCGATGTCCTCTAAGTGATATATTCTGCCTACAACAAAAAAGGATTGCACGTGATATTGAAAACAAAATTTGCCGATTTCTAGAAATATTATCAGATAGAAATTTATTGAGTTGCAAATTAATTGGAACGGTTTTTTTACTAATTACTGCTTGGAAATCAGGCATTATTTGTATGGAGGTTTTATGCATTGGTGAAGTGTTATTATGTGATATTATTCTTACATTTCCAACTGACCAAAACCGAAACGGATATTCATGAAATAATTGACTAGTTGAAGAAGCCTTTCCAAACAGAACACAAGATATACAGAATAACCCATCATAGTACTTTGAGTAACAGAGCCATGAAAATTTTTTGAACCAAGCAGGGTTACATTTACGACCATTAGTTTTAGGAAAAACATAGTCAGAAGGTGGTATCCATACGTTCAATAGAATATTACGCTTCTCTCGGTTTGATAATTTCCCTACTTTGTCTACAAACAAGCCAATATCAAACTCGTTGCAATCATCTTCTGTTGTTGCATTTTCACAATTTACATTTAATTTTGGAATTACGACTCCTGATATTGGTTTTTCAAATTTATTACTTAAAACCGAAGACGAACTGGATACTGGCAAAGGTTTATTGTTCACAGAAAAAAAATTATTAATACTCAATGATGGTTTGGTTAAATTAATTTTTTGAACAGCAGAACAAGGTATTTGAAGAAGTGAATTATTTGAAGGGCGTTTTTCACCAGTTACAACAATATTTTTTGAAGAATTTAAACTTGTTTGGGTACGAACTAAAATATTTCGAAACTCTGGCTGAGTGCTTATAATAGATACTAGAGGGACAAAATGATTAGGCTTGAAATAATGCATTTTTCCCATATGTGTAAGATTGTCTGGAAATTCTTTCTTTGATTCAACATTGTAAAGCAATAAGTAAATTATTTGATAGGGTTCATCAAATTTCTTAAAAGTCTGTGGGTACAATGTACTTCTAAATAAATATTCTAAACATGCATCTCCTGTAGTAGGATAAAAGAGTTTCAATGGAATCTGAAATAGAAAAAAAAAAATAGAAAAATAATAATATCTATATAATAAATAAAACAATAAAATTCAAATCAGTTTAAATGTTAATTTTATACAAATGAGAATATACTTTTAAAACATTTGAGATTGACATCACACAAACTAAAGATAACCTAACACCAGATTGAGAAATATTTAATGCTTCAGCCAAAATAGCATCAACTTTAGACTTTTTAGCTTCAAATGCAGTACATGCAACATTGGATATTCTTAACAAAAAAGCGGATCTTTCTGATCGAAAAACACCACTTAAATGCCCCAGACGAAAAACAGGATGCACAGCAAAAAAATTTGCATTCTTTTATAACTCGATTGCACAAAGCTTCCTAAGAGTTGTTGCTAGCATATTGTTTCCGATTAAAGCAATGGAGACAGCAGAAGATAAACAACTGCCATCTTGAGGAGTTCTGGACATAAGAATAAATTTATATGCAAAAAATACACACACAAACACACACACATTTTTTGACTATAAATCAAGAAGTTCTTTTGATATAGCAAATCTAGCACTAACTAAAAATTCTAAATATCTATTCATCCATTGCGTTAGTCAGCTGGACACCAAAAAAACTATAACAAAGATTTTACCTGACAGGCACCATTGAACATGTTTCTTCGTTTGTAAGTTTATCAGCATACAATCTAGCCAAACTATTACTTGCTGCAACATCCATAAAACCATCGGCTCCACCAGACAATTTATATAAAATATAGATTCCATCAGAGTTTTTCTGGGAGCGCTTGTTTAATTTGGCAGTGTTACTTAACTTAATCTGATCAATTAAAGAATGGTTGTTTGCTTTTAACGCTTGATAGAGCTCCATTGCACTCATTAAAAAAATTAATTAACGCATATTTTTTGATTTAGCAAAGCAGATTTTTGTTTTTTTGCTACACTTGCTACAGGTTCTCGCTTGATGATCTTTAGTCCTAACTTAAAACCTCCTTGTTAATAAAAAGATTGCATAGAAATAGGCATAATTTTTATAAAGTATCAGGGGGTATGTATAGAGTAGTTTGAAATAGTGACAACCTGACTTTTGCTACAGTTGCTACAGTCGATTTGCCATTTTATTTAACTCCCAGTCCATTTTAAGTTGATACGCTGCGAAATGTTTGACATTCTTTCAAAAATATTTGAGCATGTGAGACAAAACCCAAAAAACTTGGGTTTTTCATTATATTTCTGAATGCAATATTTCCGTAAGATAGTCAACTTGGCTCAGCTACAATTATGAATAAATTTTCGGAGCGCCGCGCCTTCACTACTTGCAACCTATCTTGTTAAAATTATATTCTTCTTTTGCATGAAAAAATGAATGTATATATCAAATATAAAAAAAAAAGAAAAACGACAACTAAGCTGGTTGTAGCAATTGCTATACTTGCTACAGCCTAGATCCGCCCCTGATGAATATGACATCAAAAAGATAATAAAATAAAGCAAAATTGTTCAAGTAATCTACGAAATAATATACATACATTTTATATTTCCTTTTCTATTAAACCAACATTTTTATCAAATTTTTTTTAATCAATATCAATCATTCTTCAGTTACCAAAATTTAGGTTTTATATTTCTTTAACTAACTTAGGTTTTAAGTTTCTTTAACAGTTTTAGCTTGGTGAAAAAAAATTAATTTAAACATTATATGAATTTAATAGTTATTTTTTGATGTAAACAATGTTGATATATCATGATCATTATGTTATTTGTAGCGTAACAACACAACCCGTACGAAACTTTATCTATTTGACAAAAGAATTAATTGCAATAATTTAGAAACTATTTTAAAAACTTAAATTTCTTTTTAAAAATATTAATTTTTAAAATTTATTTAGAAATTAACATATTCGCAATATAGAATTACCAAAAAGTGTTTTTTTTTTAAACAATAGTTTTAAGATATATTTGTATGCAAAGTGAAAAAAACGACTTATAAGATGGATGCAAAAATCTGCGCAGTAAACGCAAATGCTCTTGCTTATATCATTATTAATTTGATTTTTCACTGATGGGCCAGTATCGGCCCAATGTCTGTTGTTCTGCTTCGGCAAATCTTTGTTAGACCATTAATAGTTTTTTTGGTGCTACCCAGCTCAAGCAATTTTATAAAGGCTCGGCAATGGCTTCCCAAAGCTGGCAATACAAGAACCGAACTTTATCGGGCCTTTAAAGAATTCGCTGGCATTGGCTCAGTATATACTTGCTGTCTGGGTATATATATATATATATATATATATATATATATATATATATATATATATATATATATATATATATATATATATATATATATATATATATATATATATATATATATATATATATATATATATATAAAAGAAATAATTGTCTAAATCTTTATTGGAGATCTCTGCTAATTTAAAAAATATATTACAACTACAACTATATTTATGTAATCTCTATTTATAGTATAAAATATCTAATTAATTTATAATGAGTTCACAAAATAAACTTTTTAAAGGAAAAACATTTTCCCTAGCTAAACCATAAGTTAATATTCGATAACTATAACTAAATAGTTATAGTTATAGAATAAGTTGAAAAATTAACACAACTTATAAACTATGTTTTTTTAAACAAATTTAAAAATATTTTGTATTCACGCATGGGTTAAAGTCCAATAGACGTCCGAGCACGTACTATTTTGGACTTGGTTGTCCAAAATCGTCGAAGTACGTATTTGGACGTCCATTGGACATCTAAACACGTACCATTTTGGACTTGGACAAATGGACCTAAACGGTAATTACTATGGACGTTCAAGAACGTCATGTGTCGATTGGGTAGCATTATTTTGTTACTTCTTTGATACAATCTATTACTTCTTCTGTTATTAAGGTCTTTCTTCTGAAATTTTTTCGAATCCATTTCCAAAATGTTATTTTTTTATGTATGTATAATTGTATGTATAATACAAATATAAATAAATGTATATATATATATATATATATATATATATATATATATATATATTATATATATATATATACATACAGGGATATATATATATACACACAGGGATATATATATATATATATATATATATATATATATATATATACATACAGGGACGGCGCGACTAGGTGTCACGTGTCACGTTTTTAGTCGGCAAAAGTTATATTGGCACACACCCCCCGTGTGTGCCAATATAACTTTTGCCGACTAAAAAAAAAAGATCCTCGTTTTTGAAAATTTGCTGATTGCAACGGCGACATTTGCCGACTGACTGTCTAAATTTACCGGCTAATTTATTGACAGGATCTACATTTGCCGACTAACTAGTCAAACAGGGTCTAATTTGCCGACTAAAGGTCACCCCACACCCCTCTTTGCGCCGGCTTTGTATATATATATATGTATATATATATATATATATATATATATATATATATATATATATATATATATATATATATATATATATATATATATATATATATATATATATATATATATATATATATATATATATATATATTTATTTATTTATTTATTTATGTATAATTAACTTTAAAAAATAGGATATTCGGCATTTGTTCAGTTTCCTCTGGAAACATATTGGAACATTTCAAACTTAGGTTGGAACGTAGATACATCAGAGTTCCTGTGTCAATCAAACAATAATCCTAGTTGTTGCAGTTGTAGTAGTACTTGCTTTTTATATAAGACTTGCTGCATTGATATTTATTGGAATAAAAGTGATCCACTTCCATTGGTTGACTAGATGAATAATATTGTAGAAACATCAAAAGCTGTAAAAGACACAGTATGTGAAAGTTTAGCATTTATTGACTTGAGCCAAGGTCACGTTAGTAAGAGTTATATGATGGTTCACTCATGTTTAATGGAAGCAAATATTGAAGATAAAAGTCAGTGTACCAACATAAGTACTCAAGACTTATTTGAAAGTATTCCAGTCATAGGATCTGATAACGTGCTTTATAGAAATGCTGCATGCGCAAAATGTAATTTTGCAAGTTACCAAACGGTTAATATGACAATACTCTGTAAAAAAATAGCATCTAATAAAGATTTAAAAACAACTATGAACCCTGAAAATAAAAATAAATGGTCAGATATTTTAGATGAGTACGAGGATTGTACTATTAGTATTGAGGAAAACAAAGATATCAAAAAATACATACTTGCATGCGATTTAAACTCAAAAACCGACTTTTTAAAAAATTGTTCATATGGAAATCCGTATTACGATTTATGTAATTCATATTCAGGAAAACTTTTTTAAAAATACAAAAATATTGACTGCTATAGATGTGCTAACAACAATTTGGAAGATCTAAATGAAGATGACTTTATATGCTTAGAAGCGAAAGAAATAGAAAACGGGTCTGCTAGTGGTGATGATGATAATGATGATAATGATGGTGATAATGATGGTGGTGATGATGATGAATAAGAAGAAGAAGAAGGTGAGGGGGATGAATTTAGTTGGGCTGCGTTAATTAATATCAACAAAGGTTTAATAGTAAAAAAGTCGTTTGATTCTAACTCTCCTATTAATGGTAACAAATGCGATGATGATTATTTCTTCGATACATTTACTCATAAATGTGAAATAAGTAAAAGAGAAAATAAAAACTTAAACTCATCTGAACCATTTGGATTAAAATGTCACTGGAATAGTTATTTGCTCAATACTGACACAGAAAGTTTCGATAATTGTTTATTTTCACAACAACCCGCGTTATTTGTGTTTGTAAATGAAACTACCAATTTAACTGCAGAAAAAGAAATATTTTTGAAAACAATAAATTCCTCTCTCGTTATCTCTTCGAGTAACTTAAAAAAAAAAAGTTATAAAATACTTAGAGCAAACGAAGCTTTTACATCAGAAAAACTACAATCTTTTCGAATACATCAATCGACCATTTTTAGTTATGCAACTTCGGTGTTCATTTCGTCAATAAAATATCAAGAAATCACCGAAATGTATGGGTTTGACTTAACAAGAAGTTATAAAAAGAAAAGAGTTTGTGCGCAGCCAGAAACTAGACAAGTTTTTGATAAAAACTATTCTGCATCATCTTTCAACTCCGTTCATTATAATATAACTGATGAGGAGGTAGTACTCTGGATTGATATTGCACCGTCTGGAGTAGAAAACAAATATATCAGTTACTGCAAAGTTTTTCATTTACAACAACAGTGTTCTTACAATGTAATCAAAAATTATACTTTAGATTCAAATTAAACAATTATCAACTACTTCAACGGTAAACGTTTTACTTACCGTCCAAATGAATACATTCCACTTGCAAATGGTGTTGGAATATGTAAAGAAAGTGACAACAACATTGCTTTGAAAAGGAAAACTAAAGTTTTGAAGGTTGCAAATATTGTTTCAAAAATTGTAACATCATCAAGTGTACTGTGTTATTTAGCAATCATAATTGTTTACACTTATTTTAATGAACTTAGAACGTGGTCTAGTGTGACGTCAACAACTTTATGTATAAACTTGTTTTTTGCTGATTTTACGTTCCTAATTTCAACACAATTCAACAAAAATATATTATGGTGCAAAGTATTCTCCATACTTTTACATTGGTTTCTATTGGTAGCTTACCATAGTCTCCTCATCTTAGCAATTGACGTGGCTACTACGTTTGGTTCTTATAATCATCAATTTTCAAAACGGAAAAAGTTAATTCAATACTGTATTGTTATTTATGTTATACCATCAGGATATTTGTTTATAAATATTATTTTGGAAAAAACTGGTGTTGTGTATATAGGTTATGGAGATAAAGTTTGCTGGATTGGAGGATTTTATGCGAAGCTTTTCTCTTTTATAATTCCAGTCGTAGTTATTATTTTAACATCGTTAATAAGTTTATTATTTACCGTTTACCAAATCACATTGTCAGAGAAAAAAAGCAACAAAGTATTTGGAGAAGGAAGGACATTTCAAGTGAATATTGCTAAAGTAACTTTAAAACTCACATTAATACTTGGAGTAATTGAGTTACTTGGTTTTGTTCAAATAAGTAAATCATCGTTGTCAAAAGGAGAAGAGATCTTTAATACCGTATTTGAAGTTATATACATGTTTTTTAGATCTGCAAAAGGAATATTGTTGTTTGTTGCTTATATTTGTACTCAAAAAGTACAAAAACTAATTACAAAATCTATTCCTTGCATTATAAATAAACGTCAAGGTGCTTACACACGCGAAGAAAAACATTCTTTAACAGCTCTAAGCTCAGTGTCATAATAAATATTTTTTTAGTCAAAAATGAATTCTTACAATAGAAAAAAATAACAACGAGGTATAGAATATTGTAAGTAACAAAAATAAATATATGCATTTATAGAGTTTATATTTTTGGATTTCTATTTTAGTAATATTAAATACATTTTTAATTTTACTATTCCTGGTGAAATTTTTTATTTATTAAATTTTATAAGACCTTCTTTTTAAGTAGTCGTTGTTGTTCTTTATTTTTTTATTATTTAATTGTTTTTTACTATTCTAATAAAAGTGTTCCTTTCCAAATTATATATTTAATTTACAAAATGTAATATAAAATATAATAAAAATTACCAAAAACATTTATAATAAGATATTTAATAACATACAGACTCGACAGTAAAATCGTCGAGAACATCGTTAGCGCAAAAAAGAAACAATAAAAAGTAAACGTTTTCTAATAAGTTTTAGAAAATCGAGAAAATTTTTGTTTATTTTGTGTATTTCTGATACGGAGTTTATCAGTGAATACGATTTTGAAAACTATTTATTAAAATAAGAATTTGTTCTCGAGATTTAAAACGTTTTCAACTAATAAAATTGATTTGCTCATAGGAAACACTCATAGGAAATTATTTTTAATAAGAATTGTATGTTATATTGCATATTATCGCTCTCATATAAACTTTTCAAATACTTATTGTCATCTAATAAACTTTTTAGATTATGGGTAAATAATGAAGAGGAAAAAAAAGTACTAAAAGTGAAAAATGAGGAAGACCTGAAGGAAATAGATATATCAGAAATTTTGTAAATGATTCAAATTTTCTAAATGATTCAAATTTTCTAATAGCTTTTGTATTAAGTTTTAAAGCCGACCCATTTTATTCCGACACTTCATTAAATTTATCCGACACTTCATTAGATTTATCCGACACTTCATTAAATTTGTCTGACACTTCATTAAATTTATCCGACACTTCATTAAATTTATCCGACACTTAAATTTATTAAAAATTCAAATACCACAACAAAATAAAAACATATTATTGTGTTGTTGACGTTGAAATTTTTATTTAGTGTCATTAATCAAAAAAATTTCTACTACCAAGTGTAAATCTTTTACTTTGTTTTTCCTAAAATAAAAGCTTCTGCTAAATTTTACACATTTTTTGTGTAAAATTTAGCAGAATGAGATGAATAAATTATATACTTCAAAGACATGCTCTAAATAAAAAACATGTCAGTAATACAAAGTCATTCACAAACAAATGAACTCTTGTAAATAACAGAATAACTTTTTTAACGCGTGCATAAGGTCAGGATTTTTTGGAATATATCTTAAATGAATATTCTCAAACCAATGACTAAAACGAACTTACAACAAAATGTTTAAATATGTCTCTGATTGTGTTGAAAACTTGCAAAGGAGACCATGGTTGATGCTGTTAATGACACTTGTCAATCTTCTTCAAGTATTGTTGATGCTTCGGTATTAGTTGATGAAACCTGACAAGACTGTAATCCATATAATGTATTCATGTAATGCATTTCAAGAATAGAAATTATCATATTTATGTAAAATAAACTATCGTGGCTCTACTCCTGTTATGAAAGTGATTGGTGCGCAAAATATATTTATGAAAGTGATTGGTGCGCAAAATATATTTCGCCGTTTGATTTCATAAGATATGAAAAGTATTATAGTAATAGCGAATTTATACTGGTATAACGGTGTGTAAATTGGAATGAACAGAAGCGTATTGGCAGTTGATTAAAAAATTTAAAAATAAATCTGTTAAAGCTGTAACAGTTTTTAGACTGCCAACAAAATTACTGTGATATTACTGTTAATCAATCGGCCAATGGTTTAAAGTGTACAAAAAAGACCATACTTTTAACATGTTTCTTGTTGCATTCAGTTCAAATTAACCGACATCCTCATTGCTATAATGCTATTAATAAACCTACAAGTCAGGTAATCCTAACGAATTTGAAGCCACTCTCAGACATCACTCTTTTTAATTCAGTATAACATTTTATCTAGAAATGTGGTTCAGTAAGTTAGAGCGTAAAAAACGAAACTTTAAACTTTTGGACTAATGTGGGATATGTCCGCCAAGCCAGCAGACGTATTCTACAGCAGCACTGTTAAAACCTTGTTAAGTTTTGTTTTTTTTCTTTCAAATTAAAGGTTTGAGACTTTATTTAGTCAATTTATTAATGCAATATATATATATATATATATATATATATATATATATATATATATATATATATATATAGACAGCCGCGTATATATATATATATATATATATATATATACATATATATATATATATATATATATATATATATATATATATATATATGTATGTATATATATATATATATATATATATATATATATATATATATATATATATATATATATATATATATATATATATATATATATATATATATATATATATATATATATATATTATATATATATGTATATATTGCATTCAATTTGTAAAATAATATTTCAAATTTCTCATTTAAACAAAGCTTACAAATTTTTGACGCAGGACTGTATGATTTACAGCGTTTAATTATATTCCATTTGATTGAAGATGTAAAACTATATATATATATATATATAATTTTACATCTTCAATCAAATGGAATATAATTAAACGCTAAATTATATATATATATATATATATATATATATATATATATATATATATATATATATATATATATATATATATATATATATACATATATATATATATATATATATATATTAGAGTTATGACTTTTTATCAACCTATGCTCCTGTACTGTAGTTTGATGAACTTTTACCTAAAAAGCACGAAATGAATTATTATTTGCATATCTTTTCTAAAAAGTTCATCCCGCCTTTGAAAAATCGATTTTGACGTAAGTACTACCATGTATTCAAATGTATTTAGAATGTCATAGTCATGTAATACAATAAATTTTCAATCCAGCAATAACTCAGATCGTTGACCTTGCTTGTAGCATAGATGATTAATAAATTTCCTCCATAACTTTGATTGCGCGCTTTGCGCATTGATTACTTCTGGGTATCTGTAGTATGGAATGCTCTCGCTTTCAGTGATTTTTTATGGTCTGCCCAGCCAAACGATATAAATCAACATACCCTCTGTAGAACTGTCCTTGTTAAAGGAGTTAAAATGAAGGTTAGGATTGCTAGTATAGCTATGGAGTTTCATCTTTGATTGCTAATGTTGGGTATTTTCTGAACCCTGATCAATGGAAAAAGTTCTTTTACCTCAAAAAAATGGAACACTCAAGTGAGATGAAACAAAAATTTCATTTCATCTCTCGAGCCTAATGTGTCGAGAATTACTTCTGTTCCGTTATCAAACTGTGAATTTCAGTTGTTCGTACTCCTTTAATAGTTGAGATACAAATGGATATTCAATGTTTGGCGATTGTGTTTTACTTCCAAGTCCTTCATCCATCACCAAACGAAGTATTCTATCAAATATATGGTATTGACAACTGATAAACCGAGGTTTGTATATATATATATATATATATATATATATATATACATATATATATATATATATATATATATATATATATATATATATATATATATATATATATATATATATATACATATATATATATATATATATATATATATATATATATATATATATATATATATATATATATATATATATATATATATATATATATATATATATATATATATGTATATATATTTTTGGTCGAAGGAAATGGTAGCGTCCGATAATTTGCTTTTGGAGAAGCATTCTACACTTTTCTTCTAGTAAATATTATTCCAAAGAACCGTTTCTCTTCTTTTATAAGAGTTTTCAAGTTTTACCAGATTATTGATTTAGACCTTGTTCTTCTGAATGCTATTATCGCTAGGCTTGTACGACGCCATGTTTTTCTACTGTAATAACTATAAAATTAGATAAGTAGCTAAATATAGTAGGGCGGGTCATTTTTCAACTTTTTTTAGTAAAGGCTTCGGCCATATGATTTTTAAATGTTTTGGCCCTTATATAAAAGTAATCCAAAAAAAAAATTAATTTTAGGTTTTCAAATTTTGACCTAAAAAATCGAGGTTTTGGATAAAAAAACGCTATATACGCGGCTTGCCGCAACTTTGGACCGGTTGCTCTAATTGACGCAAACTCTTTCATGGAATCCTTGATCCCAAATACCCCTATTTATACACCTAGATATTCATTTTAGCTTCAAAACTTATATTTATAAAAGTTTACAAAAAACGTTATTTTTGATATATTTTGCTGGAATATCTTGCGTAGTTACAATAAGATGTTTTGGTTAAACTTCAGTTTATTTAGTAAATTATATGAAAAAACTCATGAAATATCATTCATAAGTTGCTGCATTTGAATTGCCGCATTTTAAACCGTTGCTCTAGCATCTGAATTTGCTGCATTTTAAATGCTGCATTTGAGTTGACACGTTAAATCTACAATAAATATTGTTTATAAACTATTGATTACTTTGAGTTCTTTATCGATGGCTAAACGAACACGTAAAAATAGTCAAAGTTGCAAACTAAGTGTTATGATTGATTTTGCAAGTGAGTTTTTAGATTCTGAGTTACCCACATTAAGAGATGTTATAAAGTATGGTCTGCTTCTAAGAAGAGATGAAAACTGCAAAGCAAATGCAAAACTTAAAGATACATGCCAAAAGGTTTTCTCTACAATTGTTGAAAGCGAATCCTAAAATTCCTATTGTGACGGACAAAGTGGGTGTTCATAAAATAATAAAAGCATGGAAAAAAGCTACCAATAGTATTAACTACAGGTGTAAACCTGAAATTATTTCTAAGTTTAACTCTACTCTGGACAAGCTATTTGATATAGTAAAGTGCAAGTGTGACATTGTTTCTTGTGAGGAGGCAAGTTGTAATTCTTGTAATTTTAAAAGCGCATATTTCTTTTCAATGCAATAGAGAAAACAAAATTCCTTCAACAGAACTTTGGAACAAAAAGTAGTATGCAAATGGGTGCTTTGGATTTTAAAGAAACCAATAGACAAGAAAAAAATAATAAA